ATTTACCTTCCGGCCATAATGTCTTGTACTTTTGAAGCTGTTTGTGCTTCTGTGTTCATGTAGAGCACCGTATTGATAGCGCGTTGTTGAATATCCCTTCTTTCGGTGCGAGAACTCTAGTCTGTGAGACAACTATCCGTATGTTGCTGTTTGCTGACAACTTTGCGTTGTTCGCACACAACACGGATAAGTTGCAGCACATGCCTAATGCTCTGGCTTCGACAGCGCCGAATTCAGGCTCACTAGCAACATAAGCAAAACTGGCTGTCTCTTTCAGCTTCCACCGGAAGTGCAACCAATAAGGTTGCCGCGAATCAGCGTTAGTGGTGAAGTAGTGGAAACCGCCACCCCTTTCTGCTACCTTCCGCGTGCGGTGTTGGCTGACTAGCAGATAGGCAGTGAGCTGCGTATCGAAGGCAGCTGCGGCATTCGGGAAGCTAGAGTACCGGATGTAAAACAACCATCAGCTTATCGTTGGCACGAAGCTGATGGTGTACAACACCATGGTGCTGTCTGTTCTGTTATACGCAGGGAAACGTAGACGGGGTGCCGGCAGGATGTGCGACATCTCTATCGGTTCTAGCAACAGTGTCCCCAACGGATTCTAACCATCGTTTGCTGCGACAGAGCTGCGGAAACAGCAGCATCTTTGCGCCGCAGTGGAATGTATGCATTGGACTGCATACTTTTGCTGAGACACCTTAGGTGGCTCGATCACTTGTGGAGTATAGATTCTACGCGGATACCGAAGCTGCTAGGATGTGTTCAGCTGTGGTGAGAAGCGGCAGATAGGGAAACCGAAGTTTATTTCCCAAAGTGCGCCACTCACGTTCCAATCTTGACTGCAGGGCGTGCGTATCAGAGGCGGTTGATGGACGTGCATGGCGCGACCTGATCACAAAGGCCGTTGCCCAGGTGCAAGATAACTCACTCATACATGCAGAGAAGAAGCGGAAATTGCGAAAGCGACAGGTGCCGATGGGTTGTACACCATCGACATCGGGCGCATGCTGCTATAACACATGCGGTCGCAAGTGCCTGAGTCAGGCAGGTCTAGTTAGCAATAAGGGAGGCCCCTCGGGGCCAACACCGAAACGTCAGCGAGTCTGGCAACGAACGTAGGCATAACCGGTGCAGCGTTTGTAGGTACGCCGCATTCGATTTCCTAACCGCGTGCTTGCATGCTGAATCTCTTTATTTCAGGTCGTTGTTTTGCTATGTTGTCCTAATGCTTTTGTATCTCATTAGTGTCTACCTGAACTACCTTCTATAAACTTGCACGCGTTCCGTAAACTACTTTAGTTAACTTTGATAACATTTTCCTCTCTGTGGTATTTTCTTAAAACCTATTTTCTAACGTCTGGAACTTATTGCGGATTTGTTTGTAATCAGTTTATTTCATATGCCCATTTACTGAATAGTTAGGTCACCGTATCTGTATACATTATTTGATTTCTTTTATTTGATATCTGCGAGTCAAGTGATTGGCTGTTACTTGCTATTTCCGGTGTGGCTGTGCTTGATGTGCATGTTTACAAGATGCCTAACTGTGTATTATCCACTACCTCATCTACACTGACTCCAAGAGACAGTTAGATGTTTCTGGAGGGGACGGGGTGCATGGTCCTTTTGGCCATACTGGGCTCAAAGGGTGGTTCCAAGCACTCAGTGTGGAGCGGACTACGGTCGAGCAACTGACTTGTGTGCACTTATTTCCCAAGTACAGTGTGTTTGTGTTTGTCTGCGAAGGATTGCGGGCTGGTCTTGTTGATGAAACGTGGTTCCCATCCACATGCCTCCCGGTCTTTTTCTTTCGGGTTTACACTAGATATCATGTATTTAGTTAGAACTTGGGTGGTGCAGCGCAAGCCATCCATGATCCCACTGTAGGTGCAGGCGTCCTGTGGCTGGTCACAGTGACAGGCAAGTCCGATAGCGGATGCCACCAACCATGTACTGCTTTAAAGAAACAAAACAGTTTCATCGTTGTACCTGGATGTTAATATATAAGGATTTTGGTGGCGTTGGTTTCTGAGTAATACCAACACGTAGCGCCACCGACATTCTTAGTTAACTACCTATTGATAATAAACTAAATGTTACTGCATTTACAGCAAGTACCGTTTTCTTGTTATTCGTATAGTCTATGGCACAGTATCACTTCAGTCGCCGTAATTGATTTATGCCACACAGAGTTTTCACTACACTTTACCTAGCCAGGCCACATAAGGTAAGCAGACATTGTCGGGGCAAGTTATTTGTGCAATAAATGTGGGAAACAAAATAGGATAATTTGGACATAGCCGAGAAATGTAAGCCTAAATATTAGATTTTTAAAAACTAGATCCTATGTTGTTAAAATGAAATACGCATGATAAACAGCACGCGTCTTACAAGGTTTTGCTCCGAATTACTCGAAATTTCAGAGGCATGTTTTGTTTCAAAATATGAATATAGAGGTTGCCTATGTTACTTAAGTGAAACAGCAAATTGAGGCAAAGAGTGAACATCTATTTCAAACGTTTGAAACTAAGTACACTGGTGTAGTGCATAACAAGGACAGATTTGTTAATGCAGTTTGGTCATTCGTGCAGGCGTGCACTATTTCTCAGTACAAAACTTTTGAGCACAAATGTCGAGCAGAAAAACAACCCAGGTATAGTAGTTATGCAATAACATTTGTGATTTCACTTCCGTTATATACAACTTGAGGTACCACAATATAACTTGTCAGAATGCACAAAATTTTCCCTAGGTACCTATCATTATGAATGAAATCGCTAGTGAAGGTGAGTTTGCCTGGAAGTTACCGGTTAAAATATCCATCTCAATAAGTGCTAGCAGATGTACAAAGCCACTTCGCGCTACGTAACACAGGACTAACCATTTAGACTACCTACAGCAAACAGTAGAGAACTTCGTAGCAAAGGAAATGATTCCTTAATATAGAAATCCTCATTTATTAAGCAGCTACCTGAAACTCATTCAATAAAGGTAATCAGATTAAACGTGACTCATATATCCAGTAATATATGTTATTGATATTATCGAAGGATGAGAGTAAAACTAATTAAAGCACAATATTAAAATCTCCTCTGGTGATATTCTGTTGTGTGATAGATAGTGATTTTGGAAAATAATGCAGGATCAAGTGTTCGTATACAAATTTGAGTCAAATGATATTAGTTGGTTAAGAAACTAAAAATGCCTTGGAATACAAATTGTTAAGTACGACAGGATCTTGCTGCTTCTACTGCAACTGCAGCGATCCACAGATCACTGACAGCCCTCAGCTACTTGTTTTAACTGTTTTACGCACTAAATCGGTATCGATACAACTAAAAATTGTCTAACCACTTGCTCTATACAGAAACGAACTAGACAGAATTAATTAATTCTCAGGCTATAATGAAAGGATGATGATTAGAAAAAGACAAATGACAGTAGGATGCATGGTAAATAAAACGTTTCCAGCAAACTAACGCTAACGGAGTAAATTGCAACCGGGCTTGTAAAAATGTGAATACCTAAATGGTCTAAACTAATGATAACAGAATGGGTTTTGTCACGACATAAAAGCTCAAGTTGTAGCAGTCTGGAGATTCCCCGGTTTGCCTGTGTAAAATTCTAACTAAAATTATTTCATTGTACACCTAGGCAACCGGTGTGGTTTGTTGAACTGATCGTTGATTTCGAATGCTTGACCTTCTCATCGCCATTTTTGCTTGGCGCTCGTTTCGGTTGCAACTCGCAACTGCCTTGTTTGCTGTGCATACTTCATTCCCCTAGCTAGAGCGTCCACGGTGTCGTTCTTTTATAGCTAGATAACAGGGAATCTTTTACTGTACCAATAAAATTTTCCCTGCAACTCGATCGTTCTTTTCGAATCGCTTTCTGGGTTTCCGGTACAGGCGACCCTCTAAAAAGTCAGGTTAGACCAGCTTCCAAATAGGAAAATAGGCTCCTGACTATATAGCGTTCTGCTTCTTGTACCGAAAGCATACTCGGACTTCCACTACTTCGACTTCTGAGTTACCTTCCTTGTCGACAGCACTGACAGCATGAGCGACAAAAATGTGTCCGTTATGGTGATGGTTGGAGCTACCTGTGCAAAAACTTTTGTGACCTGGCCGTCCCAATTGGACAGATTTTGAATGACACGGAAGAATTTTCCAACACACCCTTACCATGGACAAGGAATTCTTCTTTTCTGGTTGCAAATACCGTCAACCTAAAGTCGAAATCTATTACCAAATTGTGCTAATGCTCCAATTGTAATTCGTCCCAAATAGGATGACTTTCGGTCACTCAGAATGTTTTTCTAACGTATTCCTATAATATACCGCAAATGCAACTTTCCTACTTGCAAATAACGGCAAAGTTAAGCGCAAATCGATTCCCAAATTGTAACAACGTAATACTATAACCGTTAAGAAAAACGGAAAATATTTTCTAGTGATCAGAAGTCGTCCAAAACGTGTTTACTTGGGACCGCTTGGGACACAAATATTGGCCAGCCAGGGAGCTCCAATGGTCACTCACGCTGATTGAAATTTGGATTTTCTTTAAGGTAATGCCTCTTAAAAGAAATACAATGGTGCTAAAAATGCACAACCTTAGTTAACAGCATATATAGAAGGCTACCGCGTTATTTTTATTTCATTTCTTTTTTGCGAGAAACTTAAAACATGCCTGTCGGTGCGGACAGGGAGCTGCCTGTTGTAAACCGTCTCAACAGACAGAGCTTACAAGTTAATAGGGAAATATTCACAGCACTAAAACACCGTTAACATACCTTACATGAAACCGTCTTACTTATCTAAAAAGACAATCGTACTAACCAATGAATCAACAAACACAAGCAACTGTGATTAAAATAGGAGAAAAATATATAGAAGCTTCTTCATTAGCAGGGTAGTATATACATATATATATAAATATATTTAGCGTGTGTTTTACTTTATTACAAATATTAAGGCTAAAGCAAATTGCACAATTACCAAGCCCAGTGACAGTTTCCGAAAATGCTTGCAAATTGCACGCTTGAAATCGTGCCGAGTTCTGATGTATACAAACAAGACAAAAATCTGCATCATTCAGAAGCTCTGCATAACCATACAGTTGATACCGTCTGTGTTGCATACACTTTGTTTTGTTAAATATTTTATCGAGCCTTTCTTTACGTTCCTTACCTTCGCATTTGATACTGTAGTGACCTGGAGATTCCCCTGTTTGGCTGCCGCATGCTGCGTAAAATATTACAAAATCACAAAATTATATTTTCTCGATGTACATAGCAAATTAGCCGCTCGCCTGTTTGAACGTTGCTCGCGTTTGTTTGAGTCAATCTAGCATCCGCCTTCGAACGGCGCGACGCTCATCGGCTCCGCGGCCATCTTTGCTCTCTGCGCACGCGGCCACACCTTTCCCCTGGCTAGCTATCTTCCGGTGCCATAATTTTAGCACTAGATACCGTTTCGCCCCACTTAATAAATTTTTCCAAGCGTTACTTTTGGTGTTCTCCACTCATCGGAGGTTGGCCTTATATTAGCGTATTGGTTCTAAAGCGTACCGATCCTGCTTCTCGCTTTAATGGTGACCCCCGACTTTTGGTCATTATCCGGTGCTTTTTCGCTAACCTGCCTTTTCAAATTTGGCCACATTTTTTCGCTAACTTGTCTGATTTTCACTTTTCATTTTCCGGTTTAATATCGCTGGCTCGCTATTTTGCTCGCCATGGAAACTGATCGCGTAGATTCTGACGTTCAGATCGGCACAGTTACGCTTCCTATCGCACCTTTTCGCGAGTCTAATCCTAAGTCTTGGTTCGGTCAGCTAGAGTCGCAATTTTCTTTGCGTGGTATTAGGTCCGAAAAGACCAAGTTCCACCTTGTGGTTTCCGCGCTTCCGCTAAATGTCAGCGATGACATTGATGACATTCTAGATCTTCCTGACGACCAAATGACTTACTATGCAGTCAAGACAGCTGTTCTGAGAAGAACAGACTTATCTGATCGACAACAAGTTACGAAACTCCTCAACGAAACCGATCTTGGCGACCTTAAGCCGCCTTAGCTGTTTCGAAAAATGCAGAGCCTCGCTAAACCCACTTCGATAGATGATTCTTTTCTTCGGGAAATGTGGTTGCAACGACTCCCGCCCGAGATGCTACACATCCTCTGCGCCAGTGAGGATGCACCTTTGTCTGAAACTGGCCGATACAGCCGACCGCATTTGGGAGTCGTGCAGCCAGGTTTCGCAGGTCCAGACGAAACAGGACGACGATATCGCCACGCTTAAATCCCAGATGGCAACATTGACTCGGCAATTCGCAGACTTTTCGGTCTCCGGACATAACCGCTGTAAATTCTCTAGGAGCCGTTCGCGTTCACGTTCGAACTCTCCTTCGCGATCACCGAATAGAAACGGTTACTGCTGGTACCACGAACGATTCAGCCAGCAAGCTAAATCATGTCGCCCGCCCTGTTCCTTCAAACGACAGCAGCAGGGAAACGGGCGGACCAGCACGTAGGGGCGACGGACGTAGCTGGTCAACGCAGTCGCCTTTTCTTCGTCACCGATAGTAGAACCGGAGTTCGCCATGTAGTTGGTACTAGCGCAGAAGTCAGCTTTCGGCCGCGTGATCCAAACGACCCTACCGAAAAGGTGACTAGCTCATTGCGCGCAGCTAACGGGGCCATTATCCGCGTATATGGTCAACGCTCGCGCACGCTAAATCTCAGCCTCCGACGCACTTTCAAATGCATATTCCTCGTTGCGGATGTTCAAACGCCTATCCTTGGTCTCGACTTCTTACGTCATTACGATCTACTCGTCCACGTTAAGCGACACCGTCTAGTCGACCGCCTTACGAATCTCGCAGTCATTGGGACTTTGACCGACACCGCGTCAATCAGTCCCGTGTATGCGACTCAACTTAGTTCACCCGTCGGGCAAACGCTGCTCGATAGTTTTCCGCACGCCTTCCGTCCTTCCGTCCCGTAGCCTTCCGCAACCGACGCCGCGACACATCACATCGTTAGGAAAGGTCCGCCTGTGTTCGCAAAAGCCAGGCGCATGACCCCCGACAAGCTCAAAATTGCACGCTCCGAATTGGAGCACATGCTAGACCTAGGCATTATTCGCCCATCTAAGAGCCCGTGGGCGTCACCTCTACATATGGTGCCTAAAAAGTCAGGAGACTGGCGTCCATGTGGCGACTATCGCGCTCTCAATAACGCTACCGTCCCCGACCGCTTTCCGATTCCGCACATGCAGGACATCACGGCTAGCCTACGTGGCGCCCGTGTGTTCTCGAAGATAGAGCTGGTTCGAGCTTAACACCAGATCCCTGTAGCCGAGGATGACATTCCGAAAACCGCAGTCATCACGCCTTTCGGACTTTTCGAATTCTTGCGAATGCCCTTCGGTCTTCGCAACGCAGCTCAGACTTTTCAACGCTTCATAGACGCTGTCACGAGAGGACTCGACTTAGTAGTTAGTTCTTCCGAAGAACTGCACGCGGAGCACCTCAAGATGCTTTGCGAGAGGTTAGCTTCTAATAGCATTACTGTCAACGCTGACAAATGCATATTTTAGCAACTATCTATCGGATTTCTTGGTCACCGAATTGACCAGCATGGCATACGGCCGCTCGAAGCCTGAGTCAGCGCCATTAAGGACTTTCCCGTTTCGACTACTTTGGCTGCCATCCGCCGTTTTAGTGGGATGCTCAACTACTACCGTAGATTTATGCCACGTTGTGCCGACTTGCTCAGTCCATTGACCGACTTACTTCGTGGACGCAAGAACGGCAACGTCGAGTTGACGCCCGCTGCAACCGAAGCCTTCAAGTCCTGCAAAGAGGCCTTGGCTGAAGCCGTTATGCTTCTCCATTTCGACCCCAAAGCTCCACTCAACGTTGCAGTCGATGCATCAAACACCGCCATTGACGCCGTCCTGCAGCAATTCACTGAAGGATACTGGAAACCACTTGCTTTCTACTCCCGACGCTTACAACCGGCAGAAGTCAAGTACAGCACGTTCAGCCGCGAACTGCTGGCACTTTATTCTACCGTCCGACATTTCAGGCACGTCTTAGAAGGTAATTCGTTCCTTATCTTCACCGATCATAAGCCGCTTATTTACGCCTTTCGAAATCAGTTGGCTCGATACTCAACACGTGAGGTTCGTCAGCTGGATTTCGTGGCTCAATTTTCTGCTGACCTCCGACACATTTCAGGTCAGAATAACGTCGCTGCAGACGCTCTTTCGCGCGTCTCCGCAATCCACACCAGTGGCCAGGCAATCGACTTATCTGCCATGGCTACCGCGCAACTAACCGACACTGACTGTCAGAATGTCAAACAAGCTTCTTCGCTACGAATCACATCGCATCCACTGCCGTCATCTGATGACACAATCTTGTGCGATACTTCTACTGGACGACCTCGACCCGTCGTTCCAGAAACCTTTCGATGTCTAGTTTTCGACACACTTCATAGCATCGCTCATCCAGGCATCTGAGCCACGATCAAGCTCATATCCGAGAGATACGTTTGGCTTGGAATGCAACGCGCTCTTAAGCGCTGGGCACGTGGTTGTCTAACGTGTCAGCAGGCCAAGATACGGCGGCACGAGTCCGCTCCGCTTGGTCGTGTTCCGCAAGTCCCAGCTTGCCTCACCCATGTCTATCTCGACATGGTTGGACCCTTGGCACCATCCAGAGGAATGGTCTACATCCTGACCATGATCGACCGATACACCCGTTGGCCCGAGGCAGTACCTATACCCGACGTATCCGCGGACACCGTAACGCGCTTTCGTTGAGCACTGGGTTGCGTCACATGGCTGTCCAGCCACCTTGACTACCGACCGCGGTCCGCAGTTCGAATCCTCGACCTTCAACGATCTTATCAAAGTCCTCGGATGTCAACGCATCCGGACTACCGCCTATCACCCGCAATCCAACGGTATGGTGGAACGTTTCCACCGACAGCTGAAGGCCTCACTTAGTGCCGCTAATGCACTAAGCTGGACCGAATCACTGCCTCTGATACTACTTGGTATCCGATCAGTTCTTAAAGCTGATTTGCACACGTCCAGCGCCGAAATGGTATATACACAACCTCTTCGACTACCTGGGGACTTCTTTTCTGTATACCCCAGAACACCCCGCTACGACGCGAATTACGCTCGGCAGTTAGCCACGAGCATGTGCCATATCAAACTAACCGACGTGCGAGAACGACGACGTAAATCGTTCGTTTCACAAGATCTACTGCATTGCGCTTACGTTTTCCTTCGAGTCGATGGTCTACGCAGACCACTCGAACGACCCTACGAAGGTCCATTTAAGGTTCTTAAACGTAAGGACCGCGTATTCGTTATCGACCGCCACGGTAAACGTGAAACTGTCTCTATCGACCGTCTCAAGGTTGCGCATGTAGAACCTGTGATCGACGATGACTCCCGTCCACCTTCGGAGGAGTCAACGCAGCCTATGATCGAAGACATGCCTACTCCCGATGCTACGAAGCAGTCTCCGACTAACCCTTCCGACTCAGTTCCTTCCGATTCTATCGAGCCGAAAGCTTCCTCAGCCGACAAAACTGCTGGATCGACAACGCCTCCGACCGAACGTCCGAAATCGACTAGGTCAGGTAGGCGTGTTCATTGGCCAGCGCGATTAAAAGATTAGTCTGCTTTTCATTCTTCCTTTCCCGCTTCCTTTTTGCTTGTGGCCTAACCCGCCCAACAAAACGTTTTGAAAACCCAAAATATTTGCAATGCGTTTTGCAAACCTCAAAAACCGCAAAAAAGTTTTGAAAACCAAAAAAGGAGAAAATCGTTTTGAAAACACGAAATGGTTCTCGCTTTATTCGCTTATCGCACTCAGGAAGTGCTATCACCTTTTACTAGCTCTGTTGCTCGCACCTGTTTGACACTCCGCGTTTCCGCCTCTTTTTCATATCCCCGACACGCGGACGTTCAACGACAATCGAACGTTACATTTTCGGACACTAAATAAATAAATAAATAAATTGTATATTCTCGACTAAGCGAGGCACGCCTGCGCAGGCATGATCATGTTAAGAGTACAAAATGTGATCAGTTAATGTACAATGGAACAATGGGATTGT